AAAAAAAAAAAGAATTAAATGAGAAAAAACTGGCTTAGAGCAGTGCCTGGCAGGTCAATCACCCGTTGTTAATGACTCTTCTTGTTATGTACCTATCTCTGAATGATTAACTTCAACATGCTTCAGTATGTTCATTTCCATTGGAAAATGATCTTTGTACATAAGTGAAATATTAATTAAATTGAACAATTGAGGTTGTATATGGTACAATAAAAAGAATTCTGCTGGCTTTGGTATAAAAACCATGGACTCAGTATCGGCTCTGCCACTTACTACATGTGTCACCTTGGATAATTTCTCTAAATTGCATTTTCCTCACTTGTAAGATGGGGATAATAATATCTCCCTATGGAGTAATGATAATGGTGATGACTTTGTTTTATTAATCTTATGATTGATAGTTCTGTATAAATAAATCAGTAGGTTTTTGGCAATTCTTGTCGCATTCCTGAAAATAAACAGAAAGCAGAGTGCCAAAACAGAATTTAGTAAATCAGAAGCTCTTCTAAGGCCAAAACCATGAAATCAAATTGTAAAACCTATTAATGGTTGAGAAACTACGTATCTGTCAAATGTTCTCCTGTTATTTTTCCAGGTAGGTTATTGACATGGATGTTCCCAGGTTGACTTAGGATAAAAATTTATCTTTGTATAGTAGTGTTTTCCTACCAGACATTTTTCTAACCTTGGCATCTGAAAATTAAAAATCTGCGGTGCCTTGTAGTGCAGCGGCTAGGGCGCTGGCCCCATACACTGGGGCTGACAGATTCAAACTCAGCTCGGGCCTCCCAAACAACAGTGACAACTACAACAACAAAAGAAGTAGCCAGGTATTGTGGTTGGTGTCTGTAGTCCCAGCTTCTTGGGAGGCTGAGGCAAGAGAATGGCTTAAGCCCAAGAGTTTGAGGTTGCTGTGATGCCACAGCACTCTACCGAGGACGACACAATAATACTCTATCTCAAAAAGAAAAAAAAAATGTGAAACAGTATTCTCATATTTATTATTCTAACACAGTTAATTCTACATTATAATTAATGCCATAAAATGATAAAATAGCTTCTGAAAATATTAAGACTGGTAAATCACATTCACTGAGGAAGTAAGGAAATTGGACCTTGATCTATGGGTACTAATTTTTCATCTTATTTGTTTGTTTGTTTGTTTGAGACAGAGTCTCAAGCTGTCACCCTGCGTAGAGTGCCATGGCATCATAGCTCACAGCAACCTACAACTCCTGGGCTCAAAGGATCCTGTTGCCTCAGTTTTTCTATTTGTAGTAGAGATGGGAGTCTCGAGTCTCACTTTTTGCTCAGGCTGATCTCGAACCTGTGAGCTCAAGCAGTCCATCCGCCTCAGCCTCCCAGAGTGCTAGAATTACACACGTGAGCCACCTTGCCCAGCCTTAATTTTTTTCATCTTTTAAGATTTAGTTTGCTTTCCTTCTCTAATGTATAATCAAAATGCGATAGGTGGACAGGCGGTACGTGTCAAAATTTTACTGAAGGGACAATTAAGATAAAATTCTTTGGAGAATCAGGACTTTCACTGAAATGTCAGATAAAGCTATTTTCTCTTGTTTTCGTAAATATGAGATTTTCTTTTTGATGTTTGACTAAAATATTACCTCTTTGATTTTTCTTCCTAGTATGTGAACAAGAAGTCATTAACTCCACCCCAGAGTTGTCTACTTGTGAAATTTTTCAAAAGCCTGATGCGAAGGATGATCTGGGTGATCCTACTGTTGCAACCAGTTCTATTTCTAAGCAGTCTCCACGGAGTCCACAGCTTTCAGATTTTGGACTTGAGCGGTACATGATATCCCAAGTTCTACCAAACCCTCCACAGGCAATAAACAACCAGAAAGAAGAACCCAAGATTACAACAGCAATAAACAACCGGAAAGAAGAACCCAAGATTACAACTCCAGCTACCAAACAATCACCAGTACTAAAAACTCCAAAATGTGCGCTAAAGATGGATGATTTTGAGTGTATAACTCCTAAATTAGAACACTTTGGTATCTCTGAATATACTATATGTTTAAATGAAGATTATACAATGGGACTTAAACAAATGAAGAATAAGAAAAGGTAAGCATTTTTTTTTTTCTAAGAAGACAGGATGGAAAACAGCTCTGTGGTACGGACACCAAGCCTATCTTTCTAAATCTTTTTCTTTCTTTTTTTTTTTTTTTAAAGAGACAGAGTCTCACTTTGTCATCCTCAGTAGAGTGCCATAGCATCAACAGCTCACAGCAACCTCCAACTCCTGGGCTTAGGCGATTCTCTTGCCTCAGCCTCCTGAGTAGCTGGGACTACAGGTGCCTGCCACAACACCTGGCTATTTTTTGGTTGCAGTTTGGCCCGCCACAACACCCGGCTATTTTTTGGGTTGCAGTTTGAACCTGCCACCCTCAATATATGGGGCTGGTGCCCTACTCACTGAGCCACAGATGCTGCCCATTTTTCACTTTTGGATTTTTTTTTTCCTACAAGAAATACGATGTTTATAACAATATCTTTCTCCTAAAACATTTTCAGATACTTTATATTTCCAACCTCCCAGAATCATCATTTCTGTCATTAGAGTATAAGCTATTGGTTTCCTCGGGTTTGAAAGGCTATTGGAGTAATAAGGACCTGAGTAAAGATGTTTAGGGATAGAAAAGAGTGGATAAAATTAAAGAGGTAAAATTAGTAAGAATTTGTGATTGATCTGGTACAGAGACTTGGAAGAAAAGAAGATCTAAAATAAACACCCCAGATTTCTGTTTCGTTACTTGAGATGATGCTAGGGAAAACAAAGTGAGAATACCTGCAGCTTGGGTGGAAAAGTGATGTTTTGACATGTTGATTTTGAGGTACACATAGATATTTTTATTATCTATTAAGCTTAGGTACTTTAATATGAGTTTGAAGCTCAGTGATGAATTCAGTGCTGGACTAAAGAGACTCGAGAATGATTAGCATAGAAATAGTAATTAAGGCCATAAGAGAATGAAAATTCCACTCATTTCATTTCTTCAAGATCAGAGGGAAAAAATTCCACAACAGCAACAAAAATAGCACTTATCAAAGTAGCCAAGCACTATCTAAAGATAAATCCATGGCTAGGTGCTCAGACCTATTATCCTACCACTCTGGGAGGCAAAGGCAGGAGGATCACTTGAAGTCAGGAGTTTGAGACCAGCCTGAGTAAGAGCAAGACTCCCCTCTCTACTAAAAATAGGACATAAATAAATAAATTACCAGGAGTGGTGGTGCACGCCTGTAGTACCAGCTACTCAGGAAACAGAGACAGGAGGATTGTGTGAGCCCAGGAGTTTGAGGTTGCAGTGAACTGTGATGACACCACTGTACTTCAGCCAGGGAAAAAGTGAAATAATAAAAAGTTAAAAATAAATAAATAAACCCTCCCTCTACCTTATCTCCACTTTATCTCTGACCAGTGTATTGAGATAGGAAATAGAAATAAATATTTCTGTGTTGCATTTTTATGCCAACTTTTCCACCTAGGCAACTCAAGAAAATCACATCAAAAACTTCTAGAAAAGGCAGCACCTGTGGCTCAAAGGAGTAGGGTGCCGGTCCCATATGCCAAAGGTGGCGAGTTCAAACCCAGCCCCGGCCAAAAACTGCAAAAAAAACTTCTAGAAATAGTGGAATTTAGAAAAGAGGCAGATAGAAGATATAGTTTATATATAGTTGTATAAATATTTAAAAACTGTTTCCTATATTAATAACTAACTAGTCAGTAATTATAGTGAAAAAATCCATTCAAATTAGCAACAAACATATAAAATACCCACAGCAGGCATGGGTTAAAGTCCTACGTGATAAAACCCATGGAACATTTCTGAGCTATATGCGGAAGAAATTAAGATGAAGAAGGACATATTCCAGAATAGAATGACTGACTATTATTAAGATGATCTTCCTGGGCTGTGGGAGAGCATGCCCCCTTACCCCAATGGCTGCTTTGGTTTATGGGCTCCTTCATTCTCTTTGTAATGATCGCAAATCTTTCTTCTGTGGGGTTTTTAGTGAAGGTTGTTTGTTTTTATATGAAGTTGACCAAGAAGATAGAGCTGGGGTTCCATTAGAGAGGGCAGGGTTGGCAGTGGGTGGGGAAGCCTGTGTCAGAGGAAGTTAAATCTGCCCGCTCGAACCCTAGCTCCTGTACAATTCCTAGGTAGCACAGCTGGAAATGAGGGCCTCGTTCTCCCCTTCCCAAGACAGGCCTGTGTCTCCCATCTCTCTCCCAAGGTAGGCCTCGGGTTGGGCGGGTTATGCCCATGCTGGCAAGACTTGAAACAGGTTTATTCATGCTGAGTATTTTGCACAATTTCATAAGACCTCTTTTCTACGTCCCTTTTTTATTCCTCCCACCTCTTCCTCCTCCTACACAGCCTTTTTTAAATGGAAGATGACAAAGATGGTCTCATTGCTGTATAGTGAGTGCCAAGTGAAGGGTTGTCACAAAGCTGATTAGTTTTATTGAGTTTATTACAAAAGACCTTGTGGCTGTGAATGAGTGTGTGTATGTGTGTTCATGTACAAATGTGGCTGGCTCCCACATCCTCTGGGCTGCCTCCCTCCAATCTGCCCTTAGGTGTCAGGAGCAGCCTAGCCCCTTCTGCTTATTTTTCCTTCCTTCATGGATTTTAGACAACCTTTGGTTAGGGACTCCACCATGGTGGGTGGGGATGGCTTTGGGGAGTGGCTGCCATCCTGTCCTATAAACCACATCTCCTTCTCTGAGCTCTGAGTATGGGACCCAGTGCTAGAGACTGAAGACAAGGTGTTTCTTCCAGGTGGGAGCCTCCATCCATAGAAAAAGAAGGAAGGAGCAGGTGGGAACAAGGGGCAAGTAAAATTTCTGGACCAGAAACTCAGAAGATGCTGGGAGCTATAGTTTCTCATCAAAATAGATAATTATCCCTCTGTCCACCGTGGTCCTTGAACTGGACTGAAGCCCTTGGAAAATGATGTAGGAAGACCCTGACCATGCCTTTCCTCACTCCAGAGGCCAGTGGTCACAGAAAGAGCTGGGAATGGTAGCCACAGAGAGTCCCCTCTAAGAGAAACAGCTTTGCCCCAGTGTCTGTGCCCTGAACCATTGTTGTAGTGGTGTGGGAGCTGGGGAGGAAACTGGCCACAGGAGGAGGCTCTCATTTGCCTTTTATTTAAGTCAGCATTTTTTGTTCCTGCTGGTAATAAAACTTTTGTTTTTAAGAGTTGAAAATAAATCAATAGGCTCAGTGCCTGTAGCTCAGTGGCTAAGGGCGCCAGCCACATACACCAGAGCTAGTGGGTTCAAATCCAGCCCGGGCCCGCCAAACAACAATGACAACTGCCACCAAAAAATAGCCAGCCATTGTGGTAGGCACCTGTAGTCCCAGCTACTTGGGAGACTGAGGCAAGAGAATCACTTAAGCCCAAGAGTTTGAGGTTGCTGTGAGCTGTGATGCCACAGCATTCTACCAAGGGCAACAAAGTGAGACTCTGTCAAAAAAAAATAAATAAATAAACCTAACGTTCCCATCTGTCAGTTTAAAACTGGTACAGAATAGCCTGGAAACAGACTCTATATTTAAGGGATTTTGGGTTAGGGGGGAGATTTATTTGAGACAAAGTCACACTGTATTGCCCAGACTAGAGTGCCATGGCATCAGTCTAGCTCACAGCAACCTCAAACTCCTGGGTTCCAGTGATCCTCTTGCGTAAGCCTCCTGAGTAGCTGGAACTCCAGGCACCCACCATGCGCCCAGCTACTTTTTCTATTTTTAGTACAGACTGATCTTACTCTTGCTCAGGCTAGTCTTGAACTACTGAGCTCAAGGAATCCTCTCCCCGGGCCTCCCAGAGTGCCAGGATTACAGGCATGAGTCACTGCTCTCAGCTGAAAACAGTGAAATGATGACATGAAATAGAAGCCAGATACAATGAAGAGTATGGATGGATTTAATTATGTACACAAATTTTCCTTGCCTACATACAAAATTTTAAATATTTGAACATGACCAAGCAGGAAAAGTTTTTGTAACATGATAAATATATATGTGTGACAATATATATGTGAAGGCCAGGCATGGTGGCTCACACCTGTAGTCTAGCACTCTGGGAGTCCGAGGCAGGTGGATTGCTTGAGCTCACAAGTTCGAGACCAGCCTGAGCAAGAGTGAGGCCCCATCTCTACTAAAAATAGAAAAACTGAGGCAAGAGGATCACTTGAGCCCAAGAGTTGGAGGTTACTATGAGCTGTGACTCCATGGCACTCTACCCAGGGTTACGAAGTGACACTGTGTCTCAAAAAAAAAAAAATTCTATGTGCATACATGTCACATATATACATATTTTTAAACTTACATCAATCAGAGAAAGTAAAACAACCAATTGAGAAAATGAGCGAAAACATGGATTAACAAAAGAAGAAACACAAGTGAACAGTTAACATATGAACATGTTAAACTTTGCATGTAATCAAAGAAATTCAGATTGAAAAATGAGATAACATTTTTCACCTATCCAGATACATTTCTTTTATTTACAAGTTTTAATTAGGCTTGTTAAGGGAGATAATACTAAAAAAGATAAGTTGCAATATTGATAAAGACATAAGTAAAACACTTGTAATACTGGTGAGTATTGCTAAATTTAAGGGAAAATTGGTAGTGTATATAAAAGCCTTTATGGAATTTTACTTAAAGGAATGAATTCAAAGAACTTCAGTGTTATGTATAACACTCTGATTTCACGTATACTTTGAAAGTTCAAAAATAGGCAGAAATTATGCTAAGGAATACATAGATAAGCAGTTAAAAACACCAAGCAGACCTAGGAAGAGATTAGCCTCTTTGGGGCAGAGAGAGGTATCTAGCTGGAAAGACTCCGTAGAGAACTACACTAAATATTAGTTTTCTAGCAACCTCAAGCTCCTGGTCTCAAGCAGTCCTCTCTCCTTGGCCTCCAAAAGTTCTGAGACTTCAGGCGTGGGCCACACCACCACAGGTTTTACTTTTGAACTAATAAGTTGAACTTGATGACTTTCCTTCAGATACTAGTAGTAGTCTCTTTCTTAAGCTAGAAGGTGATTATGTAGGTGTTAATTTTTTTTAAATTTACTCTTCATGTATACATTCATTTGTATGTGGGTCATATGCGTGGTTTGTAAAAATGTTTATACAGGATGTTAAAGACATCATGGTTCATTATGCTTCAATTCAAAACTAAATTTCGCTCAACACCTGCCGCTCAGTGGCAAGGGCACCAGTCACATACACTAGAGCTGGCCAGTTTGAACCCAGCCAGGGCCTGCCAAACAACAACAACTACACCAAAAAGAATAGCCAGGTGTTGTGGCGGGAGCCTGTGGTCCCAGCTACTTGGAACGGCTAAGGCAAGAGAATCACTTAAGCCCAAGAGTTCGAGGTTGCTGTGAGCTGTGACACCACAGCATTCTACCAACGGTGACATAATGAGACTCTCAAAAAAAAAAAAACAACTAGGCTCAGCACCTGTGGCTCAAGTGGCTTAGGCGCCAGCCACATACACCTGAGGTGGTGGGGTCGAATCCAGCCCAGGCCCGCCAAACAACAGTGATGGCTGCAACCAAAAAATAGCCGGGTGTTGTGGCAGGCGCCTGTGGTCCCAACTACTTGGGAGGCTGAGGCAAGAGACTCGCTTGAGCCCAGGAGTTGGAGGTTGCTGTGAGCTGTGATGCCATAGCACTCTAACCCAGGGGGACAGTGTGAGGCTCTGTCTCAAAAAAAAACAACAACAACTAGAAATTTTTTAGTAAAAATCAATCCTGAACCATGTTTTATTTATTTTTTATTTTTTTGAGACAGTCTCACTTTGTCACCCTCAGTAGAGTGCCATAGCATCATATCTCACAGCAGCCTCGCTACTTTTAGAATCGGAGTCTTGCTCTTGCTCAGGCTGGTCTTGAACTCCTAATCTCCCAGAGTACTAGGATTACAGGCATGAGCCACCATGCCTGGCTGAACCATCTTTTAGCATTCAGTCATCCTTCTCTGTATAACAGTATTCCAGATGTCTACATAATTGGCTAGGACAATGAAAATAAGATGGCAGGATCAGTTTTTTTAATTAAAAAACGATGTCTCAGCACACATAGCTCAGTGAGTAGGGAGGGCTCCAGCACATACACCGAGGCTGGTTGGTTCAAGCCTGGCCTGGGCCTGCTAAACAACACTGATCACTGCAACCAAAAAAAAATCCCAAAATAGCCAGGCATTGTGGCAGGCACCTCTGATCTCAGCTACTTGGAAGAGAATTGCTTGGGCCCAAGAGTTTGAGGTGCTGTGAGCTGTGACATCCTAGCACTGTACTAAGAGTGACATAGTGAGACTCTGTCTCACACAAAAAAAAAATGACAAGTTTTTTTTTTAGAGACACAGTCCTTCTTTATCACCCTCGGTAGTGCCATGGCATCAGCTCACAGCAACCTCCAACTCCTGGGCTTAGGCGATTCT